CCTATTTTCATGGGCCAGAATGTAGATGTGATAGTGCAATCAACTTTTGACCATACTGATTAGGACCACACCCTGGGGGTTGGCATAACAATAAAACAGAAAAAACTTGGGAGTCTAAATGATCTTGGGGAGCAAAGCTTCTTCTGACCCTGGATCATTGGCCCACATTTGGTCAGGTATACAATAAAGAGACAGATAAACTTCTGTCTTGTATGACTCCCTGTAATTTGGAGTCTCCTTGTTACAGCAATTGTAGCCTGTAACATAATTAATATATCTGACTACATGAAAAATTTCAAAATACTATAACTGTAAAAAGAAATAAAATATATTGATAATAAAATAAAAATGCATTTCTATATGTGTATGCTTGAGAACAACTACATTTGAAGACATAATCAGTAAGATAAATGCCAGTCATCCTTATCATGAATAAATAAGTTTGGATAAAGTCAATCTGTACTGGTCTATAGAAAAATGTACCAACAGAAGTAGTGGTGGACATAAGAACAGAAACTACTTTTTTTTTTTATACTTATAACTTTATTGTAGACATACTTCATTCATTCCTTTTTTAAAAATATTTTATTTATTTAGAGAGAGAACGAGACAGAGCATGAGTGGGGGGGAAGGGTATAGGGAGAGGGAAAAGCAGACTCCCTGCTGAGCAGGGAGCCCGATACAGTGCTCCATCCCAGGACCTTGGGATCATGACCTGAACTGAAGGCAGGCACTTAACCAACTGAGCCACCCAGGTGCCCCATACTTCATTCATTCTTTTATTATTCTTATTAATTTACATATCTGACTTCTAGACTGTAAGAAAGTATCTGCATTTCCTTTTTTTATTTATTTAAGTTTTAGGTAGTTAACATTCAGTGCAATATTGGTTTCAGGAGAATTCAGTGATTCATCATTTACATACAACACCCAGTGCTCATCATAACAAGTGCCCACCTAATATCCTTCACCCATCTAGCCCATACTGCACCCACCTCCTCCATCAACCCTTGGTTTGTTTTCTATCATTAAGAGTCTTCTATTGCTTGATTCCCTCTCCCCTTTTTTTTTTCCCCTTCCCATATGTTTATCTGTTTTCTTTCTTAAGTTCCACATATGAGTGAGATCATATGGTATTTGTCTTTCTCTGACTGACTTATTTCACTTAACATAATACCCTCTAGCTCCATCCACGGCATTGCAAATGGCAAGATTTCATTATTTTTGATGACTGAATAGTATTCCATTACACACACACACACGCGCGCGCTAAAATACTGAAATATTCTGAAATATGGCTTTTTGTCTAACATGTTATACTTCAGTATTGAGTATAAACATATTCCAATATATATGTGTATATACATATACAATGAATATAACATATATTCATGTCACACCTTCATTCATTCATCAGTTGATGGACATTTGGACTCCTCTATAGTTTGGCTATTGTTGATAATGCTGCCATAAACATCAGGGTGCATGTATTCCTTTGAATCTGTATTTTTGTATCATTTGGGTAAATACCTAGCAGTGCAATTGCTGGATGGTAGGGTAGTTCTATTTTAAACATTTTGAGGAATCTCCATACTGTTATCTAGAGTGGTTCTACCAGTTTGCATTCCCAACAACACAAGAAATAACAGGTGTTGGTGAGGATATGAAACTACTTTTAAGTTAAGTAGTAACAGATCAGACATTTTATATAATGAAAGAAAATAAACTAATCTTAATTGAAAGAGAGATAATATTCCAAAATAAATTATAGAATGCCCAAGCATAGAAAATGAGAAGTATTATATTCTCCCAAATGAGTCTGGCAAAATAATTCCCTATAGGGGAAATAATTCTCTGTGTGCTATGACATGAGATGACCTAGTCACAGAAATCCCACAACACATCAGGGCCACATTCAGTCTCTAGTACTTGAAAATAATTTGACCATAACTTTTAATACGTGAGGAAGAATGTCTTTTTTTTTTAAGATTTTATTTATTTATTTAGAGAGAGACAGGAAAAAGAGAGTGCAAGTGGGAAGAGGGGCAGAGGGAGAGAGAGAGAATCTCAAGCAGATGCCATGTTGAGTGCGGAGGCTGACGCGGGGCTCAACCTCACCACCCTGAGATCATGACTTGAGCTGAAATCAAGAGTGGGACACTCAATCAACTGAGCCACACAGGTGCCCCAAGGAAGACTACCTGGATAATCTTGATAATAAATTACAAAAAGAAGCAATTTATTACGTAAGATATAATAAAGAATTTTAAGGTAGACTTTCGGGACAGTATCAAAGTAAGATTGGAAAACAACAGTCTATCTAAAAATAATTTCAATCTGTAATATTTGTAACAGATTTCTTAGCATTATTCTAAAGTGTTACAAATATATAAAGGGTAGCAATACTAGGAAATATTTCTAAATGTTTATTTTTTGAAATTCAAAGAGATCAATACATTTATCTGTCAATTTAGTAATATTTGATTTTAAGACTGTTAAAAGGCATCTCAAATTTCTTGTTTCAGATTTGTAAATGTTTTCCATGGTATCTCAGTAACTGCACTTCTACTCTTTACAGCTAAATATGTAGTTAAATATGTTCCAATATGTTGAGTAGAAAATAAGTAAATTATTCAATAATTTCGAGAACAGTGTGTTTATTACATTTCAGTTTCCTGCTCTATAATAAGTCTTCTAAATTCCTTGGCTTTTTGTCTAACATGTTATACTTCAGTATTATTTTGTATTAAATCACTACACAATTAACGGTTGACCCTTGAACACCACAGGTTTGAACTGCACAGATCCACTTACAGATTTTTTACGGTACAGTATTGTATATGTATATTCTCTTCCTTATGATTTTAACATTTCCTTTTCTCTAGCTTACTTTATTGTAAGAATACCATATATAATACATATAACATACAAAATATGTGTTAATTGTTTATGTTTTTATTATGGCTTTCAGCTGACAATAGGTTATTAGTAGTTAAGTTTTAGGGGAGTCAAATGTTATACACGGGTTTTTGACTGCAGCAGTCAGTGCTCCCACCCTGTGTTGTTCAAGGGTCAGCCATGCCAAATGCATGACTTTTTGTGATATAGTTTTGTTCCATGCATTGCAAGATAGTTTCCTTACCTTTGCCCAACAAAAAGCCCTGTATTCCCCCAAACCACTGTAGCCCAAGACACTTCTACAAATTCCTAACACAGTCCAAGACACATAGGGAAGTGTCTCTCAAATTATCTGTGTTAAAGGATCAGTTTTTCCCCCAGTATGCCCAAGATCTATACTTCTATACAATCAAAAATAAGTTACTAGGAAAAAAGTGAAATAGAAAATAAATACAAAATATAAGTTCCATTTTATCTTTACACTCAACAGACAAAAATGACTCTGTCGAATTACTATACAAGTTTCTAAATGGTTCCTGTCAGTTTTTGCTCTTAGCTCATTGCAGACCAATAATAAATAGTTCACAGACTAGCTCTGGTCCACGGACCACACTTTAAATAGCACTGTCCTAGAGACAGTAGTACCATATTCATTGAGAATCACTGGTAAAAATAAAGCAATATATAGAAATGTTAGTTATTATCTTTATCTTTTTTGATTCTAAATATCCTTTAGCAGAGAATAAAATAAACAATTCCACCCACATTAACAATCATGCACTAGCTCACACGTTCCTGTCTAAATGGTCAGACATACACACAAGTACTATTTCCTTTCCTTTTAAGAGACAACCTTGTCTTCTATGATATGGAATTCCTCTCTGCAAGGGTGCAACAACGTTATTTAGCCAGTGAAAAGTACAGATTACTTTTACAAGTCAAAAAGCAAAAGGGTAAAACAAAATCAGATTTTAAAAGGACTCAGGATAAAAATAAATAAATAATACAAAAATAAAAGGATTCATGATATATACATACTCAGAATACAAAAATGATGCTTACCTTGTTGCCTGTCCATCTGTAGGTTTGTGACCGACATTTTTTCTGTTCTGCCAGGTTACACTCTACCTTCCCTGGGCCCACCCTGCACCAACCCCACCATTCAACACAGGAAATACTAGAGGGATAGGCTCTTCTTTCAATTACAATCCTTTTTCTTATGACATCAATATATTATTTGTCTAAAAGAATTTGATTTAAGCATTGGGTCTTTCTCTTTTTAAGTACTGTCCTGTTAAGAATACTGTCACTTGAGGAGAATGTCAAAGTTCATCCTATCCCAATCATAGTTTTTTTTTTTTAATTTATTATTTGAGAGAGCGAGAATGAGAGAGAGAGAGTACATGAGAGTGGAGAGGGTCAGAGGGAGAAGTAGGCTCCTCGCCGAGCAGGGAGCCCGATGCGGGACTCGATCCCAACACTCCGGGATCACGACCTGAGCCGAAGGCAGTCGCTTAACCAACTGAGCCACCCAGGCGCTCCAATCATAGTTTTGACAATAAGTAGTTAAACATCTCCCTGCATACAATACACAGAATGATGTGTTAAATTTTTAAAATTCTTTTAAAATGCTATTGACTTTATAAATTTTATTTAAAAAATTCTAGGTTTAGGTTGATATAAATGGCTGATCTTATTCTCAACTTCAAGGTAAAGTCCATATTAAGCTGTGGTTTTTAATTGTTTAAATTTTCCACGAGATTGCACACATTCCAATAACATGGTACACAAAAAATATTTTAGTATATGAGAGTTTGTACGTGAAATACAATGTAAATAAAAGCAACTGCTAACTTGTTAACTTTAAATTTTTCTACTGTTCTAATTTCTAATAATTCTATAACACTGATGTAAGTAGTCATAAATATTAAATTTCTAGTGTCAACCTAAGAAAGGAAATATATACTCAACCAACATTTAGAAGAAAAAACTCATTATATGTCATTTTGCTTTTAAATATTAATTCAATTTTCTTTTAAAAATAGCTTTAATCAAATGGAATTTGAAGTCTGCATATTTTATATAATGAAACATGATCTTACCCTTTTCTTGGCTACCACAGCAACTTTGCCATCTGCCTTGGATTTATCTGTAAGATAATAAAGTATGGCTGTTTCAAAAAAATACCTACACTCCTGTTTAAATAAGTGCAATGTTATACAATTAAAATTTTCTACTTTTCTCATACTGTAATATGTGTTTTTAATGGTTCGTTTGATCAAAATGCTAACAAACTCAACTTCCCAGAATAGAACAAAATAATCCAAAAGTAATATCATTAGGGATTCATATACTTATTTGACAAACCTCCTCCCTTAAATCTAATTAGTTAGATGTTCTCGAGTTAGAATCTAGTGTATCTTATTCTAGGTTCCGGTCAGCTTATGTACTCTCAAGTATATGGGATATGGAATGAAATCCCAGCGATCTCTACTTGAACATCCACTCCATGCCAGACATGGGATAAAGACCTTACATAGACAATATCTTATTTAAACTTCATGATAATCTTGCAAAGTATGTAGTCCATCACCATTTCACAGCCAAGAAAGTTGAGGCTAAGTACCATGCCTGAGGCCATGCAGTGGGACCAGACCCATCTGACTGCAAGTCTCTAATCTTTATGTCTGCTGCCTCCATGTGGGATCCCTATGTAACACTCAACAAAAAAGCACTACAACCAAATAGAATACAGAAAATTATTTTAAGATTTTATTTTGATATATGCAAACCTGTGTGTGAATTAGTAAAAAATTGGCAATAACAATTAATAATTGGATTTTTATGGGTTCAGTGTTGAATCCCAACTACATGAATTGTACATAAATATTTACTCATACATTTGTTTTATTAATCTTAATATTATGGTAATGAAAAACGAATAGAGCTATGGACATTAGTATTAAGGTTTTAGGATTACATTTAACGTTAAGAACACATAGAAATTAAATTTATCAATATAGGACTATAATTCACAATGAACATGTAAAACTAACAAAAAGAATAAATATCCATGAATATAAGAGTAAATAAATGCTTGCTATCTAAAAGCAAACTTTGCAGTAAGAAACAAATTATTGGCATAAAACACAAATCCAGAGAAGCAGATTATTATATTTATACCTATAATTAGCTGGCCACATGTAAACTGCCCTCTTTCCTATGTTCAGCTGTGTGCTTGGAATAATCCCTTCTTCTGGAACACCCTTTTTCTCCCCACTGATGAATTTACAAGACCATTCACCATCACAGATGATTCCTCCACCTAGGAGAAATAACCATCTCTGTTGCAAAACCACAGCATCCCAGGACACAGAACTTTCTTCCTTGTATTATGGTTACTTCTATATATGTCTAAGCACTCTGCAAAACTAGAATGTGCCTTAAAGATAGGGACCATGTTTTATATAAAGTAGGTGCTCAATATTTTTTTATAATTAAAAATGTACATGTATTTTATTCAAAATCTTATATGGATCTGAAATATACATTTTACTTGAACAAACTAATATAATTTATTGATTAAAATACATATAATGTTTACACGGTATAAGTTACTATACTAGACAGTGTAAGGTATAAAACACTGTATATGTTCTCAGGCCTTTAGTTTCTTTATTGATAAACCAAGAGTAATTAATTATTATCTTATTGGTATATTATGAGATTCAAATAATAGAATTTACATAAAGTTCCTAAAACAATGTCTGGTAGCTAATAGATTATCAACAATGTTCTCTTTCATTTTAGCTAATAAAGACATTCTAGGGGTGCGTGTATGTGTATGTGTTTGCGTGTGAGAGAGAGAGACAGAGAGAGAGAGAGCTAATCTATGGAATACTAGCAAAAATAGTTTAGTGATGACATATTTTACTACTGTATCATCTTGTTAAGTGTTTCTATCATTCTCCCATTTAAATAATTTGTTTTAGTCTTTTTAATAGTTGGAAATTGATAAGTAATGATAAAAGAGCAAAGATTATTGAAATTCCATAATTATTTCAAATTTATAAAAAGGCCCTGATGATAATTACAAGATAGAATAAATTCTGTTGTAGCTAAAATTTTTTTCTCTTTTCTCTTTTGAAAATCGCTAATAACAATAAAAGTCATGATGAAATATCAACCTGTACCCATAGTTAAAACTGCACAAAAAGGAAACTCAAAAACTAAAACTGGATCCAATGGACCCTGATCATATACTGAGAGTTAATAAAAAAAGAATACAAATTCTCCTCAACATATACATCATTCTTATGTAAAATTTCCAGTAGGGAGACAACTGCGAACAGAAATAGCCAAACTGCTGTTCAAGGAACATTTTATGTTGAAGTTGCACAACCTGGTGCAACATAGAAGTGTTTTGGGGAGTATCAACAACCACTCTGATTTTCAAAGGGATTTGTCAAAGGGAGAAAGTCTGATGTAATGCTGAGAAACATTACAATCATTAGCAATTTTTCTATTAATAACAGTAAGTCCATGTTCAACTTCAGCAACATTAAATACTTTCTAAGAGCTGAATTTTCCCTAGTGAGAAAAGTTTAATTTCCTCCCTTCAGAAATCTCTGCATGTAGGGACCCTCACACAGAGTGAAAAGCAGTTAACAGGAAATGTAGATCTGGATAATTAAAAGGGTCTTTACTCCACTTCTGGGCTATATCCACATCATAGTTTTAAAGTGCAAAAGAGGGGCGCCTGGGTGGCTCAGTCGTTAAAGCGTCTGCCTTCGGCTCAGGTCATGATCCTAGGGTCCTGGGATTGAGCCCTGCATCGGGCTCCCTGCTCTGCAGGAAGGCTGCTTCTCCCTCTCCCACTCCCCCTGCTTGTGTTTCCTCTCTCACTGTGTCTCTGTCAAATAAATAAATAAAATCTTAAAAAAAAAAAATAAAGTGCAAAAGAGGAGTGGCAAGTAGAAAATGAAAATGTTCCAAGCCAATAGAGGTGGTTATGCCTCATGACTCATAACAGATGTTAAAAATTTTTTATTTATAAGCATATTAGAGAGGAGTACAAATATTAACATAAATCAATGGCTTCTTTTTAAAAAAATATATATTTTTTAAGATTTTATTTATTTATTTGACAGAGAGAGACACAGCGAGAGAGGGAACACAAGCAGGGGGAGTGGGAGAGGGAGAAGCAGGCTTCCCGCTGAGCCGGGAGCCTGACGTGGGGCTCAATCCCAGGACCCTGGGATCATGACCCGAGCTGAAGGCAGATGCCCAACAACTGAGCCACCCAGGCACCCCTAAAAAAAAATATTTTTAAAGCCCGTCCATTCATGGCCTCAGAAAATCTGTCAGTCTATGCTTCTTTAAAAATGACAGCTGAAAGAAGGCATTTTCTTAAAAAGGTAGAGGATAGGTCCAGTTTCCTATCTGGCATGTAAAGAGCTTAGAAGTCACATTCCATCCTCACAACAAGTAAAAAGCTGTACAAATTGAAAATCAATAACTCTTCTTAGATCCCTTAGAGAAGTGAGGTCACAGGGCAAACCACTGCCCCCAAATTTGGAGAGACAGGTGAATACAAAGAATCACAACTTAATGGAGCAGAAACCTCCACAGGAACTAGGGCTGGGGTAGGAACACCTGAACTGTAATTGATGAATTCCTGGAGCCTCAATGTGAACAAGCTGAGAGAGAGAAATTCTAGGGGGACCCAGTCATGCAGGAGGGAAGCACACTTTTGTGAGTTTGCCTACAGGAGCTCTATCAGGTTCTCATGGTGAAGACTGGAGAAAAATACCTTTGTGCTTCCTCAGTGGGGAAAAAAAAAGTAACCATTTTGAAATATGCCAGGGCATTCAGTTCTTAGCACTTTGCCCTCAAGATAAACTATTTTACCAGAGCCTCACCTATTGTGGTTTTTTAGAACCTAACCAATTAGTGGGAAGGGAACAAATCTAGCCTGCTGGAGTCTTCCATGTGGGGGGAAGGGAAATATCCAATTCTAGCTCCCCTTTAGCCATCATGTACCACGTGAGGGGGTGAAAAGAATTAGAAGCACTTGTGCAGCTCAAAGCCCAGAACTGAGACCTAAGCATAGAGCTATAGACTGCCCTCTCCAGCCCCACATGCCTTACCACTACACTACTAAAGGCTTATTTACCACAGTTTCTTTTACCTGGTACATCATGTTTGCCTTTCCACAAAAAATTACAAGGCATACTAAAAGGCAAAAACAATTTGAAGTGACAGAGTAAGTATCAGAAACAGACCTATATATGTCAGAGATGTTGGAATGATCAGACTGTGAATTTATTTATTTTTTCTTGGTGTTTTGCATTTTCTTTTTTTTTTTAATTTTATTATGTTATGTTAGTCACCATACAATACATCATTAGTTTTTGATGTGGTGATCCACAATCCATTGTTTTCGTATAACACCCAGTGCTCCATGCAGTACATGCCCTCCTTAATACCCATCACAGGGCTAAGCAATCCCTCCTCCCCCCTCCCCTCTAAAACCCTGTTTGTCTCTCAGAGTCCATAGTCTCTCATGGTTCATCTCTCCCTCCAATTCCCCCCCCTCATTTTTCCCTTCCTTCTCCTAATGTCCTCCATGCTATTCCTTATGTTCCACAAATAAGTGAAACCATATGATAATTGACTTTCTCTGCTTGACTTATTTCACTTAGTCCCATCCATGTTGATGTAAAAGTTGGGTATTCATCCTTTCTGATGGCTGAGTAATATTCCATTGTATGTATGGACCCACATCTTCTTTATCCATTCATCTGTTGAAGGGCATCTCAGCTCTTTCCACAGTTTGGCTATTGCGAACATTGCTGCTATGAACATTGGGGTTCATATGGCCCTTCTTTTCACTACATCTGTGTTTTTGTGGGTACAGCCACTTTGGAAAACAGTGTGGAGGTTCCTCAAAAATTTAAAAATAGAACTACCCTATGACCCAGACTGTGAATTTAAAACAACTATGTTGAATATACTAAGGCTCTAGTGTTAAAAGTAGGCAACATTCAGGAGCAAATGGGTACTGGAAGCAGAGAGATGGAAATTCTTTTTTTTTTTTTTTAAAGATTTTATTTATTTATTTGTGAGAGAGAGAGAGAGCTTGAAAAC